TATATATATATATATATATATATATATATATATATATATATATATATAAAGTTTAAAAAAAAAAACTGTTCTGAACCCAGTTGTGGGCGTTTACAATTATATATATAACCTAACTTAACCTACCTAGACAAGAATTATGGGGTAGGGGCTAGGGTTCCAGACATGGGCTTTGTTAGATACTATGCTTAACACTAAAGAAGTTAAATCTGTAATTGAGCATTAATAAAAAATATTATTATTATTTTATTTGCCCCCCCCCCCCCCCGAAATAAAATCCTGGCTACGTCACTGGGTTATGACAAGGGTGGCCGACCTCTAAATAGTTGGGAAAAAAGCGAAGAAGAAAAAAAAGAACAAGAAGAAGATTTGTTATTATATTTTAAATATACTTTCAAGGATTATTTGTTATAAAAAAAAAAAAAAATCAAAATGAATCTTATTAAAAACTTATGTGATATAAATTTACTGTTTTTGAATGTTTAAAATTACTGAATTACAACCAACTTTTTAATTACTAATTCCTTAAACTATTTCTGAAACATTTTGACTACGGCTTATAACTACTTATTCCTATCACCATTATTTAAATCAAGTGTTTTCTTTCTAATTTCTTGGCTTAGAATATTATTATTAGGTTGCCAATGTTTTTTTTTCTTAGATAAGTCATTGTATTGTCCTACTTCAGTGATCGTTACTGCAAATGTTAGTCAAGAAAAAACAACAGATAATTTTAATGATGAAAATGACAAAAACTATAAAATGGGTAAGAATTAAAAATGTATAATCTACTATTAAAAATCTCAGTATTAAAAAATGTATTGTTGTACACTTTTGATTTGTTACTATTTCACTCGCCCTATTCTTATCTTCATAGGCAGAATACAGAGCAAAATTATAATTTAACATATCTCATAATTTATTATTTCGATATTTCTATTATTTCAATAAAGTGTTTGATTGTACTTAAATTGGAATTATATTTAGTTTGTGTAACATTTAATTAGATTGATAATTTTTTACTCTAATACAAATCAATATCTTTAACATAGATTCTTTAAATTATTAATTTTTTATTCATAAATTTTTATTAGAAGATGAAGATAACAAAGCTTCTAAATTAGCTGTAGATGACAATGAAGGTGCTGGGGTATCTAATTATGAACAAAGATCTGCTTGTATATCTCCAGCAAGTTCTCAAGGTGGAATTTATCCGGTAATTATTTTTTTTAGGTACCTATAAATTATATTCTTATACATTTATTGAAATATGTTAAATAATTTTCATAGGTGGAGTTAGTGGAAAATTTTGGACTTAATATACATAGAATTGATAAGGATGTTCAAAGATGTGACAGGAACTATCCATATTTTACTCTGGAAAATCTTGATAAATTAAGAAATATAATTTGCACGTGAGTAAAATAATTTTCATCTAAATTCCTTAGCTCAAATAATTTTAAATGCGACAATAATGACTATGTTTTAAAGTATATTTGTACTAGTTAAAATATTTATAATGATAAATAATATAAGTAGGTTGTATAATATTTTGTGAATCGGTTTTATTCAAAAAAAAATTATGTCTTTATGAAAATTTAAATATGGTTTTTATGCATTTAATAAGAAAAATTTTTAAGTATTTTTTCTTAAAAACAATGTCATTAGTATATAGTTTATAGTATTATTATTATTATTATTATTATTATTATTATTATTATTATTTCTTACAGATATGTTTGGGATCATTTAGAAATGGGATACATGCAAGGAATGTGTGATCTTGTTGCTCCTCTTTTAGTCATTCTGGATGATGAAACATTATCTTATTCATGTTTTTGTTTGTTAATGGAAAGGATGTCTGCTAATTTTCCACACAGTGGTGGAGCAATGGATACACATTTTGCAAATATGAGGTAATATTTAATTATTATTATTTATTATTCCATTTTAAACATATTCTAATTTGATTTTCAGATCCCTAGTACAAATATTAGATTCAGAAATGTTTGAACTTATGCATGAAAATGGAGATTTCACTCACTTTTATTTTTGTTATCGATGGTTTTTATTGGATTTTAAACGAGGTAACAGATTCATTTGAAAATTAAATTATTTATTTTTAAGTTAAATTATACAAATGTATTATAATTAATTAATTAAAGTAATATTAATTTATACAGTAGTTAATATCTTCAAAATAATATTTGAGTTGCTAAATGAGCTATAAGACATATGCTCATCCATCGTTAACCCACATTGAAATAGAACATCTATAACAATTCAGTATTAATGCTAATTAAGTGTTGCTAAAGCATTCAAAATATATCATATAGGTCATACCTTTATTATATGATAGCCCCCCTGAATTAATAAATAAGAACTATAATTAGATTAGACTTTATGCTTAATACCTAAAATAGCTTTAATTAAATAGCTACATTAGAAAAATAAACATAGATTACCTATTCAATAGGAAATACTTAACTAGAAAAATATTTATATGAAGGAATCATCACTTTATTATTACTTCAAATCAAAAATATTTATATTAATTTTTGTTTTAAGCCATGGTTAATGCATGAAATAATTTAAAATAAATCTTTGATTAATTTAGTTAGGCTGATCTCAAATAGTTGTGCAAAAAAAGAAAATATTTATTTGGAATTAAATGTATTATTGTTTAAGGGCGTTTATTAATATCAAAATTATTTTTACATGATTTTTATTTTTTTAGAATTATTATATGATGATGTATTTACTGTATGGGAAACAATTTGGGCAGCTAAAGAAATGTCTTCTTCTCATTTTGTGTTATTCTTTGCCCTTGCTCTTGTGGAAACATATAGAGATATTATTTTGGCTAACCACATGGATTTTACAGATATAATCAAATTCTTTAATGGTAAATGTAAACCTACTTTACTTAATTTAATGAATATTTTTAAAAACTTTATTTTATGTTAATTTATGTTTATAAAATTACACATTACAAAAATTGTATGTATTTTATATTTTAGAAATGGCAGAACATCATGATGCTAAAACAGTCTTATCGCTAGCAAGAAATTTGGTTTTACAACTACAGACATTAATTGAAAATAAATAAAATAATAGTATTATTTAATCCCATGACATACAATTATGAATTTTTGGTATTTATATTGTTAAACTTTACCAACAATAGTAGTCTCTAAATTACAATACATGACGTCAGTTTAAATAATCGATTACTCCATTACATTTTTATAAATAAAATAATATACTGATTATACACTTAGACCATGTATTTAAATGCATATTTTATTAAATAATTCTAAGTAAACTAAAAAAATTAATTAAATTATAAAACTTAAATAATTTTTATTTACACATTTCATGAGATATATTGTATATATACAGTTTGTCAAAATATCTCAACTTTTAAGTGTCCCTTACCCTTGACACTAATAATTTTTGTTTGAAAAATATTTTACTGATAAATTATAGTGTATTTTACTCATACAATCTAATTATTACTAAATAATAGTAAATAGCTAATATTTAAGACTGCCTTATAAAAATGTATGAAATACAGAGTAATATTATCCATCATAAAATTGTTGAATAGGTATCTATATTTAAAATAATACAATTTAACAGAATCTATTTTAACATTTTAATATTAAATACACAATGTTTAAATATTTCTATGAGTAATATTTCTACATTAGAGATATATTTCATCAATATTCTTGTGATATTTTCCATGTTATATTAATTATTAAATATTATCGAATAGTTTTTAGCAACAATATTTTTTTATAGTTTTAAAATATTATAAATATTAAAATGTTGATTATAAACATCATGTACCTGGATATTCCAGTATTAATTTAAATAAGATTTGAATTAATATTAATAATTTTTAATATTGGTATATTATGTATTTATTATATATTAATAAAAAGTATAACTATAAAAAAAATTAAATTAATTTTGGTTTTTACATTGATCAATTGTCAATAATTGTATTTTAAAATTTAATTTCAAGTATTAAAATATAATGTTTTGATGCATTTTAAATTTAATTCAAATCATTTAAACTTAAACTAGGTATTGAATGTCTATCCTTAAGTTATGATAAATTTAAAGAATGCATTGACTATTGGTATTAAATACTGTATAATTTGTTGGATTCATATTTTCAAGTAGTAGGAGTACTCCAACAGAAACTTGACAAAAATAATTTATTTGAAAAAAAATTAACTTTAAAATCTTATCTTAGTATTACCTAATATATGTAATCCCTTAAAAAACTTTTTATATATTTTTCCAATTTTAAACATTAATATTAAAATTAGAGTAACTATTAAGAAAACAATTTAATTAAATTTAAAAAGTGTTTGGACAGCTTATATACTACTCATGAAATGTATAACTAAGTTTTACTGATAAGTATTTGTCTTTGTTGAATGTTTATTATTGGATATTAGTTTTTAAAGACATTTGTTTCAAAAATGAATAACAGAAGTTAACCCAAAGTTACATAACATTCCTTATATTCATAATTCAAGTCTAATATTCTTCATCAGAACATGGCTAGGAGTGGGGTTTGGGTGTTCAAACCACCCCCAAAATGTTAACAAATTAAGAAAAAACTTGCTCTTGATATTTTTTTTATAATTAAATTTTCATAATATAAATATTTGCCAAGATTATTTATCTAAACAATAGTTGATCTATCTAGTACTAAAAAGTTAACCATTACCAAAATTATTATCTTGTGAAATAAATATATTTAATATACGTAGTAAGAAAAATATTGACTTCCCCCCAAAAAAAAAAAAAATAATAATTTCTAGGCATCCCCTGATACTTTATATGCCATACCATTACTAATTTCAAGTATATACACATTTCATCATAACTCTATTTTATACATTCTTGTACAATTTATTTACATTTTAAATAGGTATGAAATTTCTTACATTGTTAACAGCTGTACTCTTTATTTTGCTATAAAAAGTTTATATAAAGTTTCGTTTACTCGAAAAAACAAAATTTGAAATATCCCATATCAAAATTAATTTATATTAACTAATCCTATCTACACTTTAAATTTGTAAATTAATGAATAAAAATATATAAAAAAAACTTATTTTTAAATAAATAAATTTATTTTTGGATTTAAATTAAAATATACACATAATCACTTCATTTTAATTAAATTAATTACTCTAAATAATACATATTGATCTAAAAGTAACTATTTAAGAAATATTTGTACTAAAAAATTTAAAAATGTATTTTAAATTGGACTAATTGAATATTTAAATAATTTTTGTTGAGTATATATTAGTCTGTAAACTTTTAATAATTTGACAATTCATTAGAAAATTTGAATATACAAGTTAGTATTATGAAAATTATTTTAAATTTAATAAAGTACTTAGTACATAAACATTATTTAGAATACTCTTTAAACAATATATTTACTGTATAAAATTCATGAAAATAATAAGACAATCAGTGATTTTAATGTTAAAACAATTCAAATTTTAGTTATCATACTTATTAAAGTATATTAACACATTTGATTAAAATCTATTTTAAAATATCTGAAGAAGTCTTTTGTCTTCTGAATTTTTCCAAGATTTATATTTTAAATTCAATTTATATCAATACCTATCTGCAATAAAGGGATATTATTTAATTATAGGTGATCTTTTAGAAGCAAAAAAAGACGAATTAAATATTACCTATATCTAAAATAAACAAATTTGTAATAAAAAGAATAAAATATAAAATGTTTTTATTAAAACTTGATAATTCATTTACAACTAAATATAAAAACAAATTAAATGTATAAATACACAAGTATTACCTTGCACCTTGTGTAGATCATTAAATACACCTTACGCAATTATAATATTATTATAATATTATAGCATATTTATGTTACAAAAATGTATATTCCTATGTATTTATAAATAATTTTACTAATTATTAAGACCTGGATGTTGATGACTTTGATGACATAATTTTTTGGAATATCATATATGATGCTTTCCTAGATTGAAATTTGTTTCAATAATATACGAATCTATATAACTTTAATTTTTTTTTCATTTTTTTTTTTTATATTTTCAGTTTGTTTTTTGGATTTTAGGTAATTTTTTAAGAGACTTTTTACTACTTTTTACCAATTTAATGCAGGTAATTTTAATATATATATAATATATTAATAATATTTTTATGTTTTCCCCAAATCGAGAACTTTACCATAACTTGAAATTGGTAATATATTTATTTAATGGTGGTAGTATTTTTCAAGTTTATCTCAATCTCTCCTTTTGATGTGAAATTATCATTTTCAACTTACAAAAATATAAATATAAATAATTGATATTAGTTTTATTTGAGAACTTTAAACCATTTTTTTTTATTTTTTGAACTTATGTGTTTTTTCCAATTAATTTTTTTAGAACATCAACGTCAAGGCTTTAATAGTTACATAAATATAATATATATATAATGTATAATATAATAATATCCAATACTGATGATAAGAAAACGGATCTTTAGGTTTTTACATATTTTTATTGGCTTTATGCAGATTTACGAGAATAAAAAATGTGAACGATTTATCCATCATAACGTTCGTAGAAAAATATTTATTTTGTATATTTTGGACATCAGAGAATATTTAGCTTATTTTTCATATTTTTAAATATATTTAAGTTGTGATTTTTCTAGAAAATTCTTATGTATGGATCTATTTTACACTTTTGCCATTTAAATAATTTATCTTTTACCAAGGAATGGTGCATACAAGTTGTTCATTGTTTTTATTTAACTATTTTGTTTTTTATATATAATTTTATTATATTTATACTCCTATGTATGAACTGTTTTAAATGTTTATATTTAAATAATTTACCTGTTACCAAAGGAATATCCTCTAACAGTAATTTGATGTTTTTTGAACTATTTAAGAAAAAAAAATCATATTATCACATATTTACAAGTTTAAGGAATATTTAAAAAATATTTTAGGGTTTTTTAGAGCATATTATCTGCATATTTACAAGTTTAAGGAATATATAAAGATTATTTTAGGATTTTTTTTTAGAGCATATTAGGATCATATTTTAAGATTTTAAAAACCTAAAAATCCTTTCTTTACTGATGATTATTGACTATTTATAAAGATTATATATTTAATTATTTATAGAAAGATATAAGATATGTTTATTATTTTATTTTGTAGTCAAAAAATATCTTGGATTTTAATTACATTCATTTTTTCAAACAATTCAATGAATATGGAATAGATACTTTTGGAAATATTTTACTCTATTTACAAACTAGTATCAAGGATCAAGTTGATTTTTAAAAGTAATAGTATACATTTTAAAAGTAGCTATTTATTTTATACTATTTAAGAAAATGTATTTATTTTTCCACTACTGAATCAATTAAGATATGCTTCTAATTATTGTAATTTATTATAATCAATCACAGCAGTGTATACTAAATAAATTATTAAAGTTACCTAATGATAGTATAATAAAACTTATTTTAAATATAATATTATTATTCATGGAAATTATAATTGTTGTGATTTTAAAATTATTTATCAAAATATTTATTATACATAAATGTATTATAAATGTATTTCTATTTGAACATAATTTTGTTTTTATTATATTCAAATAAAAATATTAATTTAGTATGCTAATCATTAAATAATTTCAAAGTAAAAATTAAATACTAAATACAGGCTGTTTGAATCTCATAATCTTATTAATATTATATCAATTGATTTGTAATTAAATAAACTGTATATTCAGAAACAAATGTTTGAAATATATTTGTAAATATACTGATATTATAAAAATAAAAAAAATAATTAAATTATTTTATTAATTTTTTATTTATAATCCTGAAGCCTATTACTTATTTGTTTATTTAGTATTATTAAGTATTCAGTAATAAATAAATAATTTGTATCAGAAAGTGATCGAAAAAGCTAGTTATACATTTTACTGTTATATATATATATATATAGAACTGATATATTTTTAGGTACCACAGATGCTTCAAAACCAACAATTATAAATAAACAATGAAAATAACATCTGCATTATACTTTAATGATTAAATAAGATGAACTTCACAACAAAATCTGATCAAAAATTATAAATCTTTAGAATTAATGTCAACATTTATGAAAACATAATTTTTGTTGATATAAGTTTAGATGTTTTATTAATTTTTATGTAATTCAAATTATAAGTGTTATGCAGTCCTATAAACTATGTTTTCGGTCACAAAATATTTACTTAATTGTATTCAAAATACAAATGATCTTCATATATTTAATTAGAGCTGGTGATGTGTGATGATAAATGATAAGCTATATTAAGTTTACCATAACAAAATAATTTGAAATAATTTTAGATATATTGTCTTCAATATTTTTGTAAAAGAAAGCAATTTTAATTTTTAAATATTAATGTCAATATATTTTTATAACTATAAATAATTTATAAATACAGATGACTCTTAATTCATTTTCTAAATCAACCCTTTTCAGTATCTCGAGTCTCTTTATTATATACCTTATTTATTCTTCAAAATGTATAATAAATATCCATAAATTTAACGTTTTATGTACTTTTTATAAGTTATTTTTATTATATAATTATAATATACTTTTTATTTTAGATTTCATATTTAAAATTTGATAACATAAATCATGTAATCCTACTTCATTAACTAAATTTATCAAAAATAATGTCGATAATAATGAAAACTTATTTCTTTATTCAAAAATTATTGGTTTCCAAAACAGTAAGGATTCATTCAAAATTCAACCACAGAAAATATTTTTTAAGTATTGTGGTTATAATTTATATTATAGTCCATGTTTCTGCTCCATATGTCATTAAAGGGCATAAAAGTATAATATACAATAGTAAGTTTATTTCTCTCAACAGGGACCATAACCCTAGTATCTTTGCGAGTCCATAAAAACATTTGTTTCTCAACAGGATTCTTGTTGCTACTTCTTTTTCAGTTTCATTTATTTCAGTCAATATTAAACCTAAATATTTAAATTGTTTGACTTATTTTAATTCATGGTAGCCCACTTTTAAGGAAGGATACATTCTTGTACTATCTCTTTTCTCCATCACATGTTCTGTTTTGCCTCCATTCATTTGTAAGCCAATTAATTAATTTGAACTCTGATTATATTTATTATAAATATATGTATACTTAATTTAAATTATAGGTATTTTTTAAAAAAAAAACAATCATAAGAAATTTACATACAAGAAATAAAAAAAAAAGTATTTTAAACATATTTAAATCATACAACTCTTCTGACTTCAAAATATCTTTTTAAATAATATACCTGGCCAATAGTCATAGAAAGTAACACAAATGATTCAAAGAATGACCACATGACAACACGTTTATTTGTGGATTCATTGATAGCTCTATGATTTTTATCACGCACGTTCATATATTCTTGTTCATGTTTAACACTTGTCAATGCAGATCCAAGATTTCGAAGCATAGTCTCCAATTTCTTATGTTCTCCATCTTCTCCAGCTATAAAATGAAAAATATTAAAATAAATAATCTTAATAGTGAATATTGATTACAGTAATATTAAGTAACATAAGGTCAAACAGATATAAAATTGGTGTTAACTAGTGATTTTACCCATATATATTGTAATATATTTACTTGGATTATCTTTTTCAAGCTCTACTTTTTCTGGTTCAGTTACTTCCATACTAAATAATACTACTTTTGGTGTCATTGTTGACATTTGATTACTGAAGCAGTATGTATAAGCGCCTTTTTTAGTTGCCGCAAATGTATACTTTCCACTAGATTCTCTCAAGCCTTCATAAATTAATTCACCATCAGGATCAATGATTTTGACATCAATATCCAAGAAGCCACCTTCAGATATTTCATACATCAAACCTAAAAATGAAATAAAATTTAAAAAAAAGTAATTAATATTCCATTAAAATACTTAAAATTAAAATCTAAAACATTTTAAAACGCACCCATTTTAGAGCCAACCTCAACTTTGTCAAAAAAACATTCTTCGGCATGAGCGTCAACAGTCAAGAGATAACTGAATCCTTGTTGAAAAATACTAACTAATAAAAGGAACTGAATTAAATAGAAAATTGATTTATGCATTATGATGGAAGTTTTATAATTATAATTGAATAGAAATTTTTAATATTTCATTAAAATTAAAAATAATTGTTACATATATCATACATTGTTATCACTAGTTCCTTGATAATGATACACGTCATCGAAAACGGGTCTGTCTATACCATGTCATGTAGACATCTAACCTTTAGGCCGGCCGCACACCAAAAGAGCAAAACTGCTTTAGTCATCGTTAGTCATTTTTGTCTAAAAACAACTAAAAACAGTTTGTTTTGGTCGGTCGTACACCAAAAAAAGCAAAACTGTGTAAGTCATCGTTAGTCGTAAAATTGTAGTATAGTATTTCAGTCACCAACATGTCTTCCGACGAAGAAGAAGTTATTGTTCCTATTTTGTGGTCTTTGTTGTTAAATATCGAAGAGGATGAAAAACAAAAAAGAATGTGGGTTCATCCTTTAAATAAAAAACGTACAACAAATAATTTAATCAAATGTTTTTTACGTGAATTACGTAATGATGATTTAAAATTTAAAAATTTATATAGGTATACAAAATGTATAATGTATAAAAAAATTTGAAAATATATATATTAATATATAATATAATATATAAAATATATATATAATATATAAAAACAGTGATCATATATTATTATTAATTATGAATTATAATTAATTATATTAATGAACGATCGTTCTGCAACGTCAGTGGTATCCAACTAGTTAACCATCTGATACCGGTCAAACTGGCGGTTTGACTAATAAAAATTGTTTTGTTTTGACTGACGGAATAGAGCATGTTCTATTTCGATAAAACACGATTAGTCATGACTAGAATTGACTGAAGAGTAAAAATGTTTTGTTTTGACTATGACTTATCAGTGTGCGGGTTTCACTGAATTACATGTGTTCTATTTTTAATTAGTCATAATAAAGCTGCCTCAGTCTGCTTTAAGCAGTTTTGCTCTTTTGGTGTGCGGCCGGCCTTAGATTACGAGACATACTTGCGCGAAACCGGACGCGTTTTCGTTTTAAATTTTTTCAGTCTTATTTGGAATAGACTATATATTTACAAGGAATTATAAATACGAGGAATACCTAATGTTACTAATAGATAACAAATCACTGCGATTTGTTCGTATAATCGCTAATATCCGGGAACCGGTTCCCACAGGTCGACGCACACACATTACATTAAACGCTAATAACGTCATGGTAACATTTTCGGTGTCACAAATTAACAGAATAACCCCCAGCCATAAGACATATACATGTCAATATTATACTAAATAATTTAATATTTTAAAAAAATTTTTTAATAATATTTTGTATGTTATACAAAATGTTTTGGGTTCAAAGATATCGAATCACTTTTTGTCCAATTTTCTAGTTATACCATTATTTTAAATTATTCTATACTTTGGTAATCATTAAGTCCAGGTTCATTGGTTGATATGTACGTACGTCTGTTGCTTATGACCTCCGTTATTCTGTTATGCTCGTACGTAGTCTATGATTTTGATTATGGTGTCCCGAAAACGTATTTCAAGACAGTCTATTATCCCGGATTGAGACTTCAATAATGTACCTAAGTTCATAGGCTCAATATGATTTTTAGCACCCCTGAGTTCAATTCAGCACTCTTGTTTTTCTCAGAGCTATATAATCTATAATAATTGCAGTTAAATACAATTTTATTTTATTTTTAACAATTTCAGCACCCCCAATATTTGGGCTCTAGTTGTGCCCATGCCTATGTTTGCATTTTATTAAATTCTAAGTTGATAAAGTTGATAAAATATAAAGTTGAATAATTGATTCAATCAATTAACATAGTAAAAAAAATCATAACATATACTCGAAGAACGTTGGTTAGGTAAGCTTAAAATATTATAATGTCTTCTTCTCCTTCGCCTTTCTTCTAACTATTTGTGGTCAGCAACCCTTATCTTAAAACACTACTCGTAATTAACTTATTATTAATTTACTAACTTTCCACATCCCCAACGTAAACATCAATAGCGGTGCTAATAGCGACTCACTTTTCTCACTTAGTCCCTTTTTTTTAATTTACTTCTATTTACTTTTCATAATTATGGTTTATTATCTCAATTTTTTGAGTAGTATACCTATACTATATCCTAAATTTTTTTTTCTCTATTATGATATTATTGAACTATAATAATCTGTATAGGCTTTTGCCTATGGGTTAATATCACGGTTATAGATTTTAATCATGGTTAATATCAATTATCTGCTATCTTATTTATATAATTGTGGTGATACGGCGCGTAACCCCACTATCACACGTTACCAATTATCACCCCATGGTGTGTATTATACTATTGTCAAATTATTTTATTTATGTTCTTTGTAAATGTGAATGTTGTTCAGCCTGTTGTATGAGCTTCGACGGTTACGACGATCGCTCCGTGAAGCTTTGCTCGCTCTCGCCACCGATCCGTCAACCGAGTCTGATCTCTTTTCTATATGCCGCCGTCTACTACGCCATTTTGTTTCGTTTATTGTATATCTATTTTATATACCCATTCCTTCGGACGAATTTTTTGTTATTATATTCCTCGATCGAGTTAATTGTTTATTATACGTATTTAACATTTTCTTAAATAACACCGCCTTCGTGTACCTTTATTTCAATTACCCTTCTGACAGTCATTTGTGGTGAGTGGTTCACACCAACCACACACGCCTACACCCCACATAATTTATGGGTTATCTTTGTAACCTGTGTGTACTATCAAAGTGGATGTATTCACCTTGTGTACAACACTGTCAACATAGCCCTATCATACCAAAAACTTAACCAGTCCAAAAAAATCAAAAGCGAGACAAATGAACCGCCCCAAATGACATCACTAATATAAATAAATACTACGCTACAGGCAGTATTCCTATAGATCAATGGTTCTCAACATTTTTTTTGTTAACGGAACACTATTATAAAAGTTTTCGCGGCACACTCAAGCACTTGATAACAACAAAAACATTGGCTACGCGCTAAGATTTCCAGTTGGGTTAAAACCGTTCAGTTTACCTACACATGCATCGACTTATCTATACAATTGACATTATAGAGTGCGCAATTCTTACGCTATCTTTTCAGAATCAATAACTAACCTATTTCTTGAGAAAGAAAAAAAACTAACAGAAATTCAGGATAATAGAACACTACGACTAAAATATAATGAATTACCACTAGTTAGATTTTTGATGTATGCAAAGTCAGAATATCTTGTAATAGCAGAAGAAGCAATCAATATTTTGTCTCATTTTTCGATTACCTACTTATGCGAGTTAGGCTTTTTGGCATTAACAATAAACGTCAGAGGCTTCTTTCAATTGATCAGGGAATGCGTGTGTGCTTGTCTTAAATTTAATCACGTATTGAACTTTTGTGTAAGAAATGACAAGCTCAAGTTTCTCACTAATAATTTTTTTCAAATATTTTCATTTTATAATATAATATTCCTTTGCTTAAATAATTTAGTTCTCAAAATATTTTTTTTATGTTTTTATATTTTTTAAAAATAAATGTAATGAAATAAAATACCTACTGTTTCCAATATATATTTATCAGCGTAATCACAAATATCAGATATTTTTCGCGCCACAGTAGTGTGCCGCGGTACACCAGTTGAGAACCACTGCTACAGATTGGATTTTACTCATAAGGATGATAGATAAAGACAATAATCATGTATATTATAAGAACCTAATATTTTAATTTGGATAGGGAACAGGGCGTGGTAGTATGTGTATATCTTAATCAGTTGAATGTTTACAATTTTAAAGTGGGTTGTATAACAATTAAATATAATTGATGCAGACTGATAGAATTATATTGTTGTTACCGAGCACACACAGACGTGTACAAGATAGAGTTGTGAAAATCAAATACCTACGGAAAATAGATTTTAAGGTTTTGTTTCATTGATTACCTTATTTATAGACTTATGAAATGGCTGATTTAACAGAAAATATTTGTGCTATGGTAGACAAGCAATTAATCGAGGATATTTTGAAAAACGATTACGGTTTTATCAATGGAAAAATCCGAGAATTGGATGGTTACGATGACAAAAATTATCATATAACAGTATGTACATAGTTGTAATTTAAAAATTAATAGTAATTATCAATAAATAGCGTTGCCATATGTCCTGGGAAACCGGGATTGTCACCGATTTTGAACTTAGTGTCCCAAAAAATGTATTAGGGACGTCTATATGTCCCGGCTTAGACGTTTAGAGGAATTGTAGAATTGTTTAATTTCGATGATTTTATCTCAAAGTACAATTTTAATCGTAATCGATTAACAATATATAAAATAAAAACAAAATTTGTATTTTCACATATAAATATATTCTACTACTCAATATATTAAAAGTTTTTTAAAAAGTATATTACTCAATAATGTGTTTGTTTTTCCCGGTTTCGCATTGTAAATTTATGGCAATCCTATCAATAAAAATAGTTCACAGTGCGATATAAAAAGTTCTTAATTGTATATGATTTATGTATATTTTATATATATATATATATCCAATTACCCAGAACTTATCAGACTTTTGTAATTCTTTTAATTTTAATATTCTAAAATGTTGGTGTATAATGTTCCAACTCAATAAAGAAAAAAGAATTGATAAGCCTCATAATTTATCAACTGCCCAACAATGATTACATTCGCATATGTTGTTTTCGTTACAAAGATGTAATATAGTAAATCTAGTTTCAATAGAATCAATTTTGTGCTATAAGCTTCAATATTATATTAAACTGACTTTTTATGAAATTTAAAGGAAAATCATAATCTGTATTTTATGCGATATATTAATATTTAAGCGAGTTATGACTATGTTAAATAATATAATTTATAAAAGTTCATAACTTGCTTGGAAATTTAAATATCGTAGAAAACCCTAAGAAATTATATAGATAATGTTTTGAACTTTAAGTTTGACAATAAGTCAGTTTTCTGTAATATTAAAACCAACAACGAAAAAAAATAATTCTACGGACATACTGACGCAACTAAACACTTGGAGGCCCTAAAGTCAAATATTAAATGGGCCCCCCTAACCATAAATGTAAATGGTTTTAAAAATCGCCGATTCCTCCTTTCTCATAAGATAATCAAAACCATTGTATCATTAAAAAATTCATAAAATCCAAAACAACCATTTGCATTATCAAGGGGCCCCAAAGTTTCACTTTGCTAACTTACCCGCTAGTTGCGCCACTGTACGGACAGCAGATTTACGAAGCTGTACGTTTGCAAGATGAAGACAAAGAATGCAGGAGTCGTGTCTAAATTTTAGTATAGTTATTTAAATATTTTATCGACATATCTAAAACCATTTAATTTTTGTGTATTGGTGGTTTGCTTATTACTTTACATCATAAATTCGTTAATGTTTAAAAAAAGGTACTATTGTTTATAGTGCACTAATGTGAAAAAAACAAAATCCTAGTTATTTTTTTCTAATAGTATTTGCTATAGATTATGGCTTATCAGTATTATAAAAAAAGCTAATCAAAATTTTAAAATTTAAAATATCCAATTATGTATATTCAATTAAATAAAATAATTAGTTTTAATTTGAAGGCCAGATTCTAGATATTTTTTTATTAATTGTTTTCAGATTTTTTGAGAAATTCTCTATTGTATTAATTCACAACATAAATTATTGCTTGTTTGATTTTAGTTCTCTAGGTGATATTTGTCCCCATTTCTTAGTTCACCTACAATTTTTATTATGCTGTTTTGTTTAACTCCATTTAAACTCTTATCCTTGTCTAAAATCTAAATCAACAACTAAAATTATTGTCAAGAGCAATTGCAAATTATTTTCGTGGGGGGAAATTTCCCAGATCTCGACCCCTCTAAAGAAAATAAAGAGGTTCAAAAGTTATAAATTACTTACTACGAAAGTATAGAGAAAGAGAACATTAATTTATGTCATACAGTTGTAATACTTGTATAAAAACATTTGTATACTAAAATAACTATAAATTTATACATTATGTGTTTTTTATAATATCATAAAAACATTTATTTTTTAGAAATTTGTAAACCCCCAAAAAAAATTAAAATACACTACTGGTAAAGACAAACCCATTAGTATTTTTTTAGTGAAGAAAATTAAAATTTTTTATCACAAATATAATAGCATGTCTTAAAGTGAATATCTAAGGCACAGAGCCCACCAAACATGACACGTGATCTGACGAATAATATGACCAATAAGTAATAATTATTTAATTTACCAAAAGCAAAATAGCATTTTCATTCTATTTTCTTACTTGACATCACGCTTAAATAGGGCGAATGTAGGAAAATATTTTGAGTGGAATTTTTGAAAATATTTAAATTATAACATTTTGATTAATATTATGCTTTATTATATAATATATATATATTACAAGACTTATATTATTTATTACTATTATACGTTGCATGTTCTTGCGTCTGCAAATGTGTAGATGGTGTAAAAAAAAAACATCGTACACTCGATTGTTCTTTAAGATTAGTAATGATGTTTTTTTAAATTGTCATTGAAAGTAAAAATAAGTATAGCTTTTTAAAAATTTAATGCATTAAATTAAAAAATAAATAGCTGGCGTTTTGTAATTTTTATGGGTCATCCATAGGCCTCAATTCCTCTTTTAATCATAGACACCCAGAGGTAGACTGGTAAGTAAACGGCCCAGTATTCTACAATAATAAATAACAGGCCCAACCCGTTCATACCATCCTCTATGAATACCTACTTACTTTTTCGGGTAGTTTATCAAATATATTTAATATACCTACTTGTTCCTCTTGTAGTCTGTAGGACTGAAGATTCTCTGAAATATACTAAATATTTCTCTTATTGCGATTATAACAGTAATTGCATGGAATACCTAAAATATTAGTTACACATTGATTTCAATTAGAGCAAAATAAAAAAGCTAGTAGAGCTCGAGATTAACTCGCCTTTGTTTTGTAAATTAGGGCGGTTGTAATGCATTTTAAAGAACAACCAATATTTTCTTCAATAAAACTATTTTGACAAATTTATCAATGTGATATACAGAAAAAATATAACCAGATTTGAATACAAAAATTAAATTTATATTAAAAAAATTATTAAGCATCATTATTTAAGTGAGCTTTTTTTTTATTAAATCTGAAGTACTTTTCAGATATTCGAGAATATCTGAAAAATCTACATTTTCCAAAATATCTCGCTCAATAGACATCAACATAAATATTTCTAAATTATCTCCGTTTGTTTTTTAATTATTTTTAATTTGCTAAATGACCTCTCGTATTTTACCCAAGTGTACACACATAGTTAAATTGTATTCATACACAGAGTATAAGTTTCTGAAATTAGAAAAGTAGTACATATTTCATAGGCGTGCATAGGGGGTATGCAGGGTATGCAACTGCATACCCTAAACATAGAGCCTTCTTTCTAAAACTACAAAAAATAAATAAAAATGATGACATACTTGGTCTTATGTATATTATGTGATTTTGTATTACATTATGATTTTTATTATATTTTTATATTCAGTCCCAGACAGTTTCCCTATTTAAACGTATTACTCAAACTATTTCAAGTGTTATATATTTTTTTTTTTCGTAATTTATTTTAAATTTTAATAATGAAGACAGTTATAACGATTAAGAAATGGTTATTCAGTCCATTTTTTCAGGAAAAAAAATTAAAATTTGTAATTTAATAGTTATAAAGACCAGAATTTCAAACGCTTAAATTAACTTTCAGTTTTAGGGGGGGGGGGTAGGCAGTGGCAGCCTTTTGCATACCCTGAAAAAGAGGTCTGCGCACGCCGATGACATATTTAAAGAATTGAGCAGTTTATGGACGCATATACTTAATAACGATCTTCATTGTGATGTACATTTCATTTTTTATTATATCCTGAAATAAATATCATTTAATAAAATTATATTACATTTTAATACATAAATAGCCAAAAGGTATTATTATATATTTCATAAGAATTGTAAATGTATGTACGATTTACTTGGTACCCTTTGATATTGTTGAAGCGTGTTTACTATTATTTTGATCATTCATGTCATAGTCATAGTTCACACTCGTATTAAAATCAAAATCATCAGATTCAAGATCGACAATATTATCGCCATCACTTTTATAACTAACTTCTTATATTTTATAAATGGTTTTGTTCTATTATTTAGCGAGCCTAAAATATATTCATAGATATTTGAAAATCATTGTAGTTCGGAAATTAATTTCTGGTGGTCGATACCAACCAAATCAGATAAAGGGCTTAAATAATATCTCGGATAGAGCTGATTTTTAAAAAATTTTGGAATTAGGTATTGGATATCTGCTATAATGTGCATATTAGTTGAAAAATAATTTGTCAAGTTGCTAATTAGGTGATCAACAACACAGAAACATTTCTATACGAAATTTATCTATAACATTTACATTTTTCATCAATGTGTAATTTTGATATAAAATTAATTGATAAAAATACATTTGTTATTTGTTATAGCAATAAAAAAAATATATATATTTTAAAACTGTTTAGGAAATTGAAAAACACATAGAAGGAATTGAATTTCCTGTTGATGGAATAGTTCTAAAATTCATTAACTCCATAGATTCAAAAAATCTGTCATTGCTTGAAGCACAAACAAAGTTAACCCAATATCTAGGTAAAATTTTTTTTTTACTAAAAGTTTATTTATGCACTGTATTAAATATGTACAATTAGATAAAAATAACTTAACTAACCTATTGTATAGACACTAAGTACTGTAACCTTAAGTAATACATTTTTAATGTATGAATAATTATATAATATGTACCTATATATTTACAGTGGCAAATTTTAAAATTTTTTGTGGCGGGTTTTCAATTTTTTCTAAAAATAATTCTAAAGGTATAAATTAATAATTACATTATTCTATTATTGTTTTAAATACAAATGAAGAGTTATTTACAACCACATTATTTAAATTAATATTCTCTTTGTCTGTACTTTTGTAGCAAATAATTTATGACTTTTGAACCTTTTTTTCTTTTGGGGGGGAGGTGTTGAGACTGAGGAACCTTCCCAAAAAAAAAAAAAAAAAAAAAAATAAGCCACTGCACAGTTATATAGGTATTATATTATACATTATGGGATGTTTTTTAATTGAAATATATTATTTGTTTTAAAATTAGAAAATTTTGGAATCATCTGTCCAACTCCATTGTTAAATAAATATAGACAAAGTTATGGGTCTGTTATAATAAGTAAGATATATAGAATGTCTAATATTTAAATAAATCAATTAAACAAATGTATGATTTAAGTTAAAATCCAGAATTTTTATACATATTTATTTTAAAAGATGATAAAATGCATGCAGTCAGAGCTTACAGATATATAAGAGGAGAAACAATGAATAATGTCATAGTTAACTCAGAAATATCTACTGATTTTGGTTCTTATGTTGGTCATTTAACTTCTATTTTAAAGGTAATTATTTTTATTTAATAAATACCTATAGATATTAAGAATTATTTCTAAGTACAATAAAACTTCCATATAACAGTCTCATAGGGAATAAATAAAAATCGTAATATATGGAAATTTGTTAAATATAATTACATATTGATTAACTATAAAATTCATGGTAAAAAATAATTTGTTTAACTAAAAATGACGTTGAATGAAAGTTTCATTGTACTTCATCATTCATTTATATTTAGGAATTCAATCATGACGGATTCCATAGGAATGACTTTTTATGGGCTTTAGAAAAATCTCCAGAAGTCTTAAAATATGTGGATGTTTTTAACCAAGAAAAACAACAAATAATTACAACAATTTTAAATAAATTCCAATCTACTGTATTATCAAAATCGCATAATTTTACAAAGAGTATTACTTGTTTTAGCAATATAATAATTCTATTTTGTTAATAATACATTCATAATTTGTAGGTGTTATTCATGGAGATCTAAATATGAATAATATAATTCTAAAAGATAAAAAAATACATGGCATTATAGATATAGGAGATGTCATATATTCATTTACAATATTTGATTTTTCTGTTTCGCTATGTTATTTAATTCTTCATGAGTTTAGAAACAATAATGCAAAATTATCTGATGTGAAAATTAAAAGCTTTGTTGATGCTTATGAAAATCATTACGAAAAATTAAACAGTTTGGAATATTCAGTTATACATGTAAGTGATTATGCACCATAGCTCATTTATTTTAACTATTTGAAATAAATATTTTAATTTTGGTTTTGTCAGTTTTCTAAATAATTGCGCAGAATAAATTATTTATAAGTCATACATTAGCATAATAACTATAAAAAAAAAAAAATGTAATTGATTTTCTGCACAAAATTAATACTAATTAATAAATAAAAAATAAAAAACTAATTAATTAATTCATATAGACATTATTATGAATTTTTTGAATTTATAAAACATTCAATCTTTTGCCATAAAAATGTCTTCTTTCCACCATTTTCTTATAGTATTGAATTTTCATTTTGATAAAAAATTTTCCTATAATATTTTATTAATATCCTCATTTTCATAATTTTTCTAACTGGGGTTTTCACTTTTAACTAATATAATAACAAATAAAATATATTGTTTATTTAGACTTGTGTATGTGCTAGAATTTGTCAAAGTTTGGTTTTGGGTAAAAAAACAAGCTTAAGAGATTTATCAAATAACTATATTTTATCAACACAGAAGAGTGGATGGAGAGCGCTAGAAGAATTAATTAATATCCAAGAAGATGAATTTATTAAGTTACTTAAACATTAGTTTTAGAAAATGTTTGTAAATTTATATTATTTATTTTAATATTATATATTTATTGTTAATTTATAATCAAAATTTAACCAAAAACAATAAATTGTTTTAATATTCATATTTTATATTTGCACTAATTTTATGATTTGTGGCTATATTTAAAATATAAAAGTTATACAAATATAAAGTAAAAATATAATTATTTCAAATTTATAAGTGTACTGACATTAATTAAGAAAAATTAAAAAATTATATCAAAATATTATTCTAAGCTATGAGAAAAAAGTAATGTTATTTTGTGATCATTGGTTTTAAATATTTAGGAATATACTATATATTATAATTACTATAATTCTATGGGAGGATGGTTGGTTTGGATAAAATAAACAAAATTATAAGCATAATAGTAATTTTTAAGTTTATATGCATTTGAATCTCAAATTATTTTGTTAAGATGTATACCTATCTTATGTGTATATTTACTTGATATAGCTATCTTCGGTAACACTTATTATCAAGTTTAATTTCATGTTATATTTAATTATAATAATATAATATATAATATAGTATTGTCATTTTATATTAATTTTTTATAATAATCAATGTGAGTTCTCTCAATAACAGTAGTTTTTAATAATTAAAAGTGTTTATATTTATATTTGAATATTTAGTACTATAAATTAATATATTTATATGTATAAATATTATAATATTAAATGTATATTTATTCTTCAGTAATAGTCTTAAAAAAACTGTATATAAAATTCTAAGTGCTACCATATTAATAAAGTAATCAACTTAAAGTATATAACCTTTTATATCATCCTTTTTATTATTATATAAAAATAATGTACATGACGTACGTTACATATTAAGTATAAATGTAATTGTAAATACCGTCAACAAGGGTGAAATAAACACGATTTTGGACTTTCACAGTCTCCTACATCTTCAATATTAAAAAAAATCTAGTATAGGCATGGAGTATAAATTACTACATTTGCATAAAAAAAAGAATTTTAACCATAAATTGGTTAAAAATAAATAAAAAATGAATGTTCCAAGTCACTTTGAGTTTCGGGTGACATGAAAGAGTTAGGGGTTTTTAATGTTTTTGAGCATTTAACCTACAATACGTTTAACTTGAAACACATATAGGGTATTTAAAAACATCTTTGTACATATGATAACCCAAAGAAGTCAATAAGTGACCTAAATATTATATAAAAAATAAACACATTCTATTGTATCTCCAACAGTATGAGTTTGGTTTACACAAAAAAAAAAATGGTTTTTATGATAACAGTTTATAACATTAATTTCTGTTTAATGATAAGAAATATCAAAAAATATGATAAAATATTTCTGATTGGAAATGTAACAACATAAAATATCATGAAAAGATAAACGATATATAATTAAAACTCTGGAAATTCTATCACATTCAATAAAGAAAAGTCATAGTATTCCAAGTCACCACTAAAGTTCCATTTCACCCGTGTTGACGGTACTTCATGAAATCTGGTGTTAAATAAATAAAAAATAACCTGACTTTTACATTATTTGGGTTTTACGCACAGTTTAAGATAAAGTTTATCTAAAACCATAGTCGATTTCTCTCATAATTATTTATCATTTGTAAATTCAATATTTTTTTTTTTAATTCTTATATTATTTAAATGAGTTTTGTACATAAGTACGAATTTTACACATTGTTAAATGTTGATTGAGTAGCGCATAATTCAATCACCAATAATTATTGGTGTACAATTGTTAATCATCCGTTATCAATAATATCGATAGTATTCCTAATAATAACATCGATAATAATATGAGCGTTTGCAAGCCATTTTGTTTTGATTTCCATCCCCTCCACATTGTGTAAGCCATACAACAGTGAATGTAGCACATAGTATATCATTAAATTAAGGCCCATGTTGCCTTCCACGTATTTATTTATTGCCAATAGTTTTTATTTGTTTAATAAAAATGCAAGGTTTTTTTTGTGACTAATTCTCAATTTATTTATATTAATTTTTCAACTATTAGTATTTTAAATGGCTATCAGTCTGTAATTAGTGTACGGTTACTTATTTGTTAGTTTTTCACTAAATTAATGTGTTTTTACGTTTGATGACCCTCAGTACTGTGACGTAGTCTGTAGTCCGATGTGTTTTTGTTTTAAAATTTTGCAAGTGAGTTGCGCCAGTTGTGGTCATTTTTATTTTAACTAGTGTTTTAATGTTGGTGATAATAAAAAGAAATAATTTTACACTTAACTTAATAATTTAGTGTTAGTATGTTTTAATTAAATTGTGAATTTTTTTAGGTATTTTAATGATTTTATTGTGCAACTGTGTGAATGATTGGATTGCCTAGAGATTTTAAATCAAATAAAATCACCGTGAAAATTGATAATATGAAACGTAGAAGTTATGGCGACTCTCCTCCTATGTCACGTAAAAAACGTCATAGCAGTATTAATAGATATGATGGTAGTTCAGACGAGAGAGGATCACCAGAACGTCTGCGTCGTAGAGCTAGATCACCACCCAGTCCCAGAGCATCCAGATATTCAGAACGTGATGAATTTGGCCGTTCTAGGGATTTAGATAGATCCCACCCTACATATAAAGTATTATGTGTAAGTGCTTTACATCCAAAAGCTAGTGATGAACAAGTCAAAGAAACACTATATCGAGAATACCGAAAATTTGGTGAATTTTCTGTTAGAATATCTCATGAACTTGATGAAAGGGTTGCATATGTATGTTTTAGAAGCTCAGAAGATGCTAGAGATGCCAAACATAGTAAGCCTAGAATAAGTTTGTTTGATAAAATAGCTTTAGTTGCACCAGTTTACGAGAGTCGTAGTTCTAGAGATCATTATGAAACAAGAGCAAGACGTTCTCGATCCCGAAGTTTCTCTCCAGATTATGATCGATATTATCACAGGTCTCCCATTCCTACAGAACTTCATAGGCCACATCCAACTGATAGGTTTTATGAAAGGTTACCTTATGGTACTCTTCCTCCCATGCTGCCTCCACGAGATTTTAGAGAAATAGGTTTGCCACCATTACATCCTCATGAACTTATGATACCTAGAGGACCATTATTACATCATGTAGCTCCTATTCATCCACATTTAGGACCAATTCATCCGCTGTATGGACCTCCAAGACATTTCATGCCACCATTTAGACCACACCCTCATCCTCATTTGATGCATGACAAAAAAGACAAATTTCCAAACTATTTGCATCACATTCCACCAGAAGATGACCCATTAGCTACACGTACTTTATTTGCTGGAAATTTAGAAATTTCTATCTCTGATGAAGAACTTCGTCGTATATTTGGCCGATATGGAGTTGTTGAAGATATTGATGTTAAACGACCATTACCTGGAACAGGAAATGCATATGCATTTGTTCGTTATCAAAATTTAGATATGGCTCATAGGGCTAAAGTTGAATTATCTGGTCAGTATTTAGGAAAATTTCAATGTAAAATTGGCTATGGAAAATCTACTCCTACTCAAAGAATATGGGTTGGTGGTTTGGGTCCTTGGACATCACTTGCTCAATTAGAACGAGAATTTGATAGATTTGGTGTTATTAAGAAAATTGAATATGTCAAAGGTGACACATGTGCTTACATACAGTTTGAAAGCATTGATGCAGCAACTGCAGCTGTCAAAGAAATGAGAGGAGTTGCTTTAGGAGGTCCAGAACATAAACTAAGGACTGATTTTGCTGATGGAGGTGTTTGTGGCAGTCCTACATTAACTTATTCTTCTAAGTCCAAATCATCTCATGATGATGTAGCAGCAACTGCTGGAGATTTACGAGAGCTAACTAGACGAGATGAATATCCATATAGTTGGCCTGATGGTGAATATCCTTCATATAGTTCCAGAAGTTATCGTAAAGGTCGTTCGGAATATGGAGAAGAAGGCAGAGAGTTTGGTAACTATGATAATGGACGTTCATTTAAACAGCATTCTGTTTCTGATATTGGTTCTCCTCGATCGCCTGAACGTTCACCTCTTCATCAATCAATTGACAGTGATGTAGAATCTGAAGAAGGAGCAATACAATCTGCTGGAATTTTGGGTTCTGTTCGTACCTTAAATGATTTGGCTCGCAAGTGTTCTGATATATGGCAAGGAAGTCTTGTATTAAAAAGCTCTCAGTTCCCAGCTAAATGTTATTTGACATCTGGTGATCCAAATGTTATAGAATCAATGATGAAAGATGAAGATGGTAAATCTACATTGCGCATTACACAACGTTTACGTTTAGATGAACCAAAGTTAGAAGATGTTTCTAAACGTATAATTACTGCTGATATGCATGCTATATTTTTGGCAATGCCTTGTTCAACTAGCTCAATTGCTAATGATGATGCATCAGTACAGATTAGACCATTACGTAATTTGGTGTCCTATTTAAAACAAAAAGAGGCAGCTGGGGTCATATCATTGGTAAGCAAAGATCCTGAGCCAACAGGTGTATTATATGCATTTCCGCCTTGTGAGTATTCAGCTAATTTACTGAAACAAAGTGCTAAAAACTTAAGCAATGAAACATTAAAAGATGATCATTTAGTTGTAGTAGTAGTTAGTGGGGGTGTTTCATAATACAATCTAACTAAAATTTGAAGGTCCATTGCAAATACTTGTAATGGACCTATTCATAATATTTTAAATGCATTATAACATAAAATATTTATAAATATATTAATAATATATTAATATATATTAATATTTAATAATAGTTAATTTTAGGTTATTTACTTTTTTATTCTACATAATTTGATTTAATTCTTTGAAGCTACAGCTTCAACAGTACAATATAACAAAAACAGCATATATGTTTTGCAAGCATTTTGAAAGCATTAATTGATAACAAATCAAGTTATTGTGGTTTATTAATATTGTGTGCAAGTTTATATAATGTGCTTAAATTTTAAATTTTTCTAAACATAATTTTGTTAAATTGTTTAATATTTCGGATTTACACACACAGTTTAATTATTTATGAAATGTGTGGAGTGCGTAACTTAATTTATATAAATATAGTGTTAAATTGTCTAGTTCGTAAAACAATATTTTAAGTTTATTTATGTGTATTAAAGTGACTTAAATATTTTTCATAATAAATTAAAATCATGCATTATTTTATGGATAAGTGTTAATATTTATATCAATCTTACATTTTATCAAGTCAACATTCTTATATCTTTAAAAATATAGTGTAAATTATCAAGCAATCCAGTTAATTTGGATTGTTCAATAATTTTTTTTTGAAGTGTTATTACTATCTTAGACAGAACAATTTTTATTATTAATTAATCTTGTGCGTTATAGTAGTAAAATAATAAAGTGTAATTCGCGATTTTACTATTGTTTTATAAAAAAAATTATTTCATACATGTACGACATAGTAGTACTATTTTTAATAAGTTAAATTAATTATATAGTTAATTAAAAAAGAAGCATTGGTGTTTTTTTTAATAATATTTTAACATTCAAGTTAAGTCAATGTTATTTATTGACTAGTGATTGTGTAAAGAATTTACAATTATCGGTTCTGTGCAAAGTGATTACCAAGTTTGGTGTTTTATATCTGATGAAAAATTGTTTTTGAATTTGTGTTTTTATGCTGTTTTGATTCAAATAGTGATTTAAATTGATGAATTAAAAGCAGTAGTTTTTTAATTTTTTGAATTACAATCTATGCCAGTGGTTTTCAACCTTTTTAATAATGCGGCACACTTCATCTCCTACAAAATTTTTGTGGCACACAAATTCATAAATTATGTGAACCATATTTTTTATATATATTTATGTATACTATTTATAGTCTACTCTATTAGAGGGTTATTTATTGTGAAAAATATTAATACAATCGATCAATCGAGATGGCCGCGACGGGCATACTTATAATAAATAATATTATATGTATCTACGATTAGTTCGATCAGTTTTCATATCGAATATCAATAATAAGCTGGTAAATACATACTTATAAAACAATTTATAGATTTATCACGGCATATATAAAGGGCACTCGCAGCACAGCAGTTGGGAACCACTGATCTACGTTAATATACATTTTTGTTCGTAAAGATTTTAAATTTATACTTTTACAAATGTTAAATTTATATTAATATCTGGATTTTATAACTTTAACATAGCATTTTTAGTGTCATAAATTGGTAAATATTTTCATTCAGTTTTAACTATGTTTTAGAAATTTAAAGTGTAGTTAAAAATTGTAGGCCCATTATTAAAAAGAAATAAATGAAATGCGGAAATGTAATAATACTAAATAGGGCTTGGATTTAAAAGCATTAAAAATCATACAAAAATGCAATAGAAAATACTACAGTATATAGAAAGATAGTTAAAAAATTAGAAAGATACATAAAAATATTATTTACAAAACATAATTTTAAAAATGTGATTTTTACTGATTTTAATAATACAAACAGTTTTCATCTAAGTTTAATTGTTCATTATTTATAGTCCTTCAAAAAGCATCAGTCGACTACATCGCACCCTGTAATATACTCGAATATTTTATAAATATAAATTAAAACAAACAAAATGACCGAAAAGTAATAGAAAATACTCTTAAAATAAGAAAACATTGAAAAATGCAAATTAAAGGTTTCGATTTTGAAGTGTCAGTTACTAATTATATACTTGGAAAGTATTGTCTAAAGTCATCTATAAAAACATTAATTTTGAATTAAAGTCCGAGCCCTAATAATAAGTTATAACATAAATAATTAAAAATAAATCTAGGAAATATTTAAATTTACATGTTTTTTTTGTATATATTTTATTGATTTTGTAATACTACTATTATAAGGTCTATTTTTTTTTTTTTTTACAAATAATTTGGTCTTTAAAATCATATAGGAATAAGAATATCTCATTTTAAGACTAAAATATATTATTTAAATTTAATATTTATAAAGTTACGTTTTTAATTTATTACTTATTTCTTGTATCAGTATGACAAAAATAGTTCTAATCATTTATATAATACATAGATTCAAAAACTTGATTTTAAAATAAAATAACATGGTTTAAATTAAATTATAACAACTTTTAAGTTTAAGTATCTTATGCAACCATACAAATGTTATGATAAAATATGAGGCCTTCAAAGATCTGAATATACCTAATATTTTACATTATAATATGTATTATTCAACGAGTAATGATCAAATAGTTAAGTTGTTAGTATTCAACTTAAGATATATAATGTTATAAAATGTATTTTTAATTGATAATCCAATTTAATTTCTGATGACTAAAAAATTAATCAAAACATTTGTTTCAGAAAATATCAACTGTTGAATAAAATTAAAATTAATAATTTGTTAATCTTTTATTAATTATTTTCTTAGGTTTTTACACAGTATCTTTTTTGAAAATCGTATTGCAAATATTTATGATTTCACTGATTAAATATAATGAATGCGATTAAATAGGTACAGCTCAATTTTATTTTAACAACTATACTATTTATAAAGTAATAGAAAGTTGCTTTTTAAGAGCAGCTCCTTTGGTTAATGATGGTTAATTACAGCTCATCAAAATTTAGTGTAAGCAGTCATTTTACAGCAGTCTAAGAAAATTCCTTACAATTCTGTTGTATTCAATTGTATTGCTACAAAATATTTCTTAAAATCAAATATTAAAAATTATGACTTGTTAAAAAAAAATCTTCATATTTCAGCCAAGGCTACAAACAATTTCCAGCCAAGACAGATTTTACTACATATGCATACACGTTCACAAAAATAATCAGATGGCATTTATTCTAAAATATACATAAATGGATCTCTAATATATGTTTTTTTTATTACTATCATTATTATTATTATTATTATTATTATTATATTATGAATTTAACTAAATTATATTTATATTTTAGTATTTGATCAATATCATTTTTATCCTCTTCTATTGTTTCTAAGTATCAACTTTTGACTTCTCAGCTTATAATTTTAATTATATACATATTTTAATTTTCAATATTTTATTAAGTCAGATGATGTTGGTTGTAGTTATATAAAATAGACCAGATATTTGAAGATAATCTAAAAATCAAACTAAATCCATCTTTTTAAAAAATTCTTACAATGAATCATTAAGTTGAATAATAATATTTATAACCAGTGTTCCCAACACTCCTAGAGTTCCTTTTAAAAAGGAATTCGTTCCTGTTTCTGTCACAATAAAAAAATGCGTTCCCATTTCTTTACGATCTAAGTGGTATTTAATGGTGTTTTTTGCGAACAATTTTTAAGTCAGAAATAATTGGCTAATTAACTCTTTTCTAAGAAACACCGATTTTTAACAATAATGATTGATTTATTTGTTATAATTCAAAAATTGTATAGCGTAGATTTGAAATTACTAGACCTAATTATACTTATTTTATCATAATATATCTTGTGTGCTAATCTCGAACTTAATTAAAATATACCAATGATACCTAGGTTGTTCGTTTTACTATTTACTAATGATTGATGAAGTGATACCAAATTACCAACAGTAAATATATTCTAGAAAATATTATTATTAAAAATTGCTTTAATTTTTATTTTTTTTTTCACTGTTTGAGGAATGAAAATTTTCTTTCAAGTTCCTTAATAATATAAACTTTTCCGTTCCTTCCCAAAACTGCTTTTATCCATAGTACAAAATGTTTCTTTTGGGTAAATATTTTTCATTTTACTTTCACCTTATTTGTTTATGTGTGTATTCGATCATAATAATAAATTATTCTTACCCTCTGATATACATATTTTATTAAACTCTAATTTGAAATAACTGCTTTTAAAATTCACCATATTCATACTTATTCAATTTTTTTGTACTTAGCTTCATTACATATAAACTTCAATAATCATTATAAACCTTGAATTAATTATAATCATCAATCATCCTCAAAATTATTAAATAATTAATAGAACATACAACTTAATTTGTTGTTGTTAAACATGATAGTTTTGTGTTTCTTCAATAATTTAGTTATATATTAAGGATTAGGAGAAAAATTAAAAAATAAACTTATACATTTGACAATAATTCTATAGTATAATAATGATTAATAACTGAAATATATATTTATGTATAAAAAAAATGAATAAAAATAAATATTTTACATAAATAAACAGATTTTTAAATAACAGATAATTGCAAAATAGGTAGTAACAATTGTGCAGCATCTTGAATGTATGAACTACTATTGGAGGACTGAAATATAAGTGTAAATAAAATTAATACACATAACAAGTAAGTATTAAGTTTTAATTATAAATATTAATACCTCAAGATAAATATCACTTATATTATTGGAAGTATCATCTGCATCAAATTGTGTTAGCAAGCAAGCATATTTATTAGCAACTGATCTAATTCGACAACACACAGCTTCGTTCAGACTAAATAAAAAAATATAACAATATTACCGTACAATACAAAAATATAAATAGATTCCTTACTGAGAAAGATTTTCAGCTTTTACAAAAACTTGGTGATTTTGTGTATCAATCATTATCATTTCACCTAGTTTATAGTATAGTTCCATAGCAGCAGCAGTCAATTCAGCCAATGCAGAAATAGCTTCATCGTGGATACAATCTTCAGTGTCAAACTCTCCATTTGATTTGTTATCAATTGAACTACTAACCTAACAGAAAATTAATAGTTATCATTTCTATATATTTAAGATTGATTATCTAACACCCTGGTAGATGTAAGTTAAGTATAAAGTGTGCCATACAATTAACATTGGCAATGTGTGTTTGTTAGGATGTATTCATCAGAATCTGTCGATTGCATAAGGACAATGTTTTTTTATTGTGTCATTCTAATACAGCTGATTAATTAAAAATATAAATATTTCGTTCTTCACAGATTTGAACAAAATTAAGATAAATTTAAAATAAAACAAATTATAGTAGCAGCTTATTGCCCCTGTCTGCACATATTTCTATATTTTCTCTTTCCTATAATTTAACTAACCACTATTCAATAAAACAATGTTATTAGGTAGAATGGTTAAATCGAAAATAAACGTTATCTAAACAAAACATTTTATTATTCAGTGTAAAAATTGCTAAGCTTAAAAAAACCCAGTTATTCAAGTTGTGATGAAATTTGTTATGTATAGAATTATAAATATCCATAGTAAATTGCATGATTGTAACAAAAATAAAACTGCTTGATGACTAATGAACATAGATTGTTTTATTTAAATAATTACAGAATGATAATAAAATAATATGGATGTTTAAAATTCTAAATAAAATATATAAATCAGTAGTTTATGTATAGAAATAAATAAATACTTAGTTTGAATTGTTATTATATTTATAAAATACAACTGTTTTCAAATTAAAAATAATCTTTACGTAAGATTAGGTTCAGGCACAGATAAAAGGGGAAGGTATATACAGGCTGCACATCCTTCTTAAGCATTTGATACTTAAAATATTTCAAAGTTTATCTTAATTTTAAATTTATTAATTAAAGTAAAAAAAAGCAATGCTATATTTATTACATATATAAGTTATTGACATTTAGGTGTGATTGATAACCGTGATTATTTATCCTTAATTTGTTAGTAAACTATTATCTTTTTCAACTAATATATTTTTTGCACTCTTGTCTATGTTATTAAATAATATTTACAATAAAAGGTAATTTTCTTATTAAAGTGATTTATTATTATTTTATTTGCATTTCAAATTTCAACTTAATGCCATGATTTTATGTACATGAAGTACATTTTTTCGTTTTGCCCCCTCCTTATTTTTTCATTTTTAAATCAGCGTTTGGTTAAATGATAAATTTTTAATTCAAAACCAGTAGTAAATTATTATTATAATCCAGACTAAGAATTTATTTATATATTATTTTATTATTTAAATAAAATTCAAATATTGTAATAAATTTTTTTTTTACAAAATCCTAAACAATTTTTATACAGTTAATAAAGTAATTTGCTTGCATCTCTTACCTTCAGTATCTTGTCTATTTTGACATCAACACTAATTTTATTTATGGTTGTAATTAGACATTTTTTAAATTCTTCGTCATTCATTAGTTTTTCATCATCATCACATACAAGATAACATAGTCCTTTTATTTGTTCCAATGTATCTTGAATATCGGTCAACTGAGTTCCAGAATATGATAACAAAACGGTTTGTAGTTTCATTTGACACTGTTTGGATAATAATTCAAGACTTTCTAAATGAATTAATCCTGTAAATTGTTAAAAGTATTAATGATTTGTTTTTATAACATATAATATTTTATAAGAATTAAAATAAAATTCACGAATCAAAAATATACTTCAACATTATAGTTTTTGTAATTTATACTTAAATTAATTTTTGGCAAGAATAGAAAGGAAAATAAATACATAAGTATAATTGATATTAAATGTATCTTATTTATGTTTGACAAATGTTCATTGAAATATTTTACTCCTGATATAAATTTCTTGATTATAAAAAATTATAATTTAACATGCTTAAAATAATTGAATAAACATAATATTCCAGATTTAAATTTCAACGCTCAATTTTTTAAATGACCAACTTAACTTCAATTTATACTTTTTGGTAAGCAAGCATTTTAAGAAAAATTGATAAATTTTGAACTATAGTATAGTAAGTACCTTGAAAACTATCTAACAAATAAGCATAGTCCTTGTTTTCTACAATTTGATTATTTTGTTTTGATTCAATTTCTGATTTTTCTTTGGCTTCTTGTAACACCTAGAAAAATGTAACTAACAATTTAAGAGAGCAGTAATGAGGTATGTATTATTTTTTAAGTATTTTTGAAAAAAATTTCATGAAAAAAAACAATTATAATTATATTAATTATTACTCTAATGGACATGCCCACTTTTATAAAAAAAATTCTGTCCTTTTAAAATACACAAATTTTAGATCCATCCTCAATTCAAAAAATCCTTTTACACCATAATTATATCCATCTAGATAAAACATACTTCCCACTTCCCTTTATTAACCAAACATGTAGTCAAACCCTACTCTTTAACATGGATGAACAAACTACACAAATATATAACTAAATTCACACCAAATTCTAATATATATCCACTAGTTTAAATGCAAATTGGTACAATTATCACCAGGGCTTGTAAGTTCATGACATAAAAAATGCCTAAATAAGCATGCATTTATGCACTTAAAATTGGCAAAATATGCCCTTAAAAGTTAAAAAATATGCATTTATATGCACTAAATATCTAAAATTATCTACTTAAAAAAATCATAAATTATTTTTGAAATAACATGAATTATCTATTCATTTTTTATAGCTAAATTAAATTTTTTTATGTCACAATTAAAAAAAAAAATTAAATAATATTTAATACTATTCTTGAGCCTTCATGAACTGCGTATAATGTACATCTTTACGTCAGTAATTCATTTTAAATCGGAAACTTTTGAAACAAATGTATTCATTAAATGTACAAATATCAAGAAGATAAGAAAAGAAAATATAATAAATTTTCTATTTTTAATTTTATTTATATTTTCCATTTAGATTTTTGATAGATTCTAATAGAATGTTGTATATTATGCTTGATAAAATAGAAATATGCATAAATATACAAAAACATGCCAAGTATGTAAAAACATGCAAATTAAGATTTCATATGTTTAACCCTGATACCTTGAAATGGATTTCTATATCATCTAGGATTAAATACAACTTTGCAAGATTGATATGCAAATGCATGAACTTACAAGCCTTGATTATCACTAACCCCTAATCTTCAAAGCAATATAATCAAAATATTAATCCTTGAACTTTTATGTTTTAGTTAATATAAATATTGCATAACATAGAATATATATTTATATTAATAGTTAAATTTAATCTGGTTTTTATTTAATGAATTTCACCAAACAATTAAAGGTAAATGTATAAATATCAAAAAACTTGCAAAATATTTGTAATAAAAGTTAATAATCAACAAAAGTAACTATTTAAGTGTTTACTCTTATTTATTTATTATTTTATATTATATTCTGAAGTGAGCACACTAACGTGACAGGTAAAATATAAGTAGAAATGAAATGCTCTACAGAAACTGAGCTTTAATTAAAGAGAGAAAGAAGGATGAGTATTTGCAATGCGCATTAGTTGAATGATCGAAGAGTTAAGATAGCAGTTTGAGGAAAAGTGGAAAGGAACATATAACCTTAAACGGCGGATAGGGACATTGAAAAAAACTTGGGATAGTGATTAAGGGCTGTTAACTTTTGAGAAAAGTAGGTTAGACAGGAAAGATGTATTTGCTGAATGTCTACGATTGGAAAGATGTTGTACTGGTGTATAGTCATGAGATGAATAGAATATATTTAGTTTATAAACAGCAAGATGGAGATATTTTCTTTAGACTCTTTCAAATATGTTAAGGGCAGAAGTGGTCGATGAATCTTACAGAACAGTCCTGTACTCAAGGATGGGATGAAATAAAAAAAAAACAAAAAAAGAGTTTTTAATAAAATGATAAAGTGAAATTCTGTTGAAACGGGTTTATGAAACTAAACAGTTTAAAAGCTTCACTACATATCATATGGGTATGTATATTTGAGCATAGATTCTGAGTAAAAGTAAAACCTAGATCTTTTATTGAGTTGTTCAAACATTTTAAAGGGATAATATTGATAGAGTAAATATAATTGATATAATCATTACAATGAAAAAAGGTCATTACTGAGCATTTGGGGCACTTAAGAACAAGTCCATAGAATTTCTCCTCAAAATACTAATTGTTGAGTCAAAGATAGATTTGATTTGGAAAAAATGTTCATATCATCAGCAAAAATAAGGAGTTTTGAATGATGAAGGACTAATGTGGCTGAATTTAGTTTATTTAACAGATAAATACCAGAAAATATTGAATTGTTATCACTTGCTTTGGTGGAGTGAACTAGGCAATTTACTATACCAAGCTTTCGCCTATACTAGTGGTTGGGTGTTAAAAGGATTTTATAATATATAGCGATTAAAGTATATTAAATTAATATAATAAGTTGGTTTGCCCATGTTAAAGGGTAGTGTTTGTGTATGAATTTAACAGATGGAAAGGTATATGTTTTAATTGAAAGTCGGATGTGATCATGATCGAAAAAATGTTTAAGAACAAAATTCTGGATTGTGATTTAATTGAGTCTTGAGTAGTTTTAAAATTAGCATATTTTAGAAGGACAGAGTTTCTGATAAAAGTGGACATGCCCATTGTTTGGATATTAATGTTTAGGATTCAATTTTTAGCCAGTAAGAGGGAGTCATGTGTTAATATGTATTAAACTAAGTATAAAATACCTGAGATAAATTAATTTTTTCAGAATTTTGAAAAAATAATGCTCTTTTTTTTCGTAGACCAGGATCACCTTCTTGCAAAACTTCTAAAGTTTTTTTACCAACAGATTCTAATGTATCAAGACCTCCATTGATTAATTTACTGCCAGTATTTTCCACAATTTTAGTTATTTGACTAACATTACTAAGAAAATAATTAGTATCTAATATTGATTCTGATGATTCTTCTGTTAATTTATCTAAAAAATAATACTTATTACAATAATTAATATAAAAATGAATATAAAATCATTACCATTTAGTAATGTCACTTTATTACTACTCATAGATGCTAACTCTTCTGGTGATGGTGCTCCGATAACACTAGTTAAACCTTGAGATACATGATTTGTTATTGCACTTGCAGTAGATATTAGTGAATTCATACTCCAACCACTAGACCAACCACCCCAAACCTAAATATAAGAAAATAAACTCAAAACTAAATTGAACAATAACTTCAAATCTAAAAAATTAAAATCTTAAGTCTAAAATTAATTTACAATAAAATGAATTGTTTAAAAAGGATTGATATTGCAAGATGTTTATAATTTTATACAATGTATCAAATAAATAATATTAATTATTTCAATAGGATATTTAGGCAAAATATAATTCATCTTGAATAATTACAAATAATTAATACATTTTAATTAGTAATTTTATAAATAAATAAAATATTGTTTATCAAATTTATATTGAAGAATGTATAAATTATAAACTATTTTACAATTTTGATAAATTAATGTAAAATGTGATGAATTAAGAACATTTTTACTTACACTACTCTGACAGTTAGTTTCTTTTAATGCATTATCAGCAGTTATATCCTCTTTGAGAGTATGTGATTTAGAATTTGTATCATCACTGTCGATTGTCAGTTTATCTAATCTAGATTGAAGTGTAGGAATTGCATCAAAAGTATTAGTTTGATTGGAGGATTTTGTGTTTTTGTGTTTGTGTTCTATGTATTGATCTATGTTTGCTAAATCAGAAACACTAGATAATGCAGATGATTTTATTTCAGTAGGTTTAGATTCAATGGATTGTTCTAAATCAGGTAAATCAAAATCAGTTTCGATTTCCCATCCATCGCCACTTTTACTACCTTCATCTGCACTTTCAAACTCTACTTCAGAATCCGACATATTACTATTAAATAACAAAGAATGAAATATATAAAAAAATTGATGAAGATAAAAAAAAAAAAAGTTTTCATTATTTGATAAATGTGTTTGCACTCACTTCAAGAACTATCTTCGAAATAGTTAAAAACAAAATACATATAATTGTATATATTTGAAAAACAAAAATAATAATAGAAATCACTACAAATTTTTAAAATACACGTAATTACTTTTAATAATATAGCGCGAGTAAATGAATTTTTACCATCTCACAAAAAATCGAATGATAAGTGATAATAATCTTTTGATAAAAATAATTATTGAGGTATAAACCATAAATGAATAACCTTATGGTTTAAATAGATATAACAATTTTAATGGTGAATATTTTATGGTTTTTTAATACAAATGGCAAATCACATAGGTAATAATCGTTTGTATTAATTATTAAGTATTAAAACGTAATTAATTATAACTAACTGTGCCTATTATTATATATATTGTTATTTTATTAAAAAATAAATAAACAGGTTGACCTCATATTTTTTTCAAACTCTGATTGTTATTTAGAAATTTCCACGTAACGAGATTAGTCTCTCCAGGAACTTCTCATGCAGTAAAGGGATTAATTTCTTAAAGTGTAAAAAGTTGCGCCGTCTTGTTGTAACTATAAGATTACTTAATGAGCTCGGTAATTTTCTTTCGTCTTATTTGGATCAAATGAACATAAAAAATGTTCGGTTTCAACTTGTCACATTTCAAGAGAAACAATCACTCTGCTGCGTGAGAAGTTCCTGGACATACTAATCTCGTTAAGTGGCCAAAGCTACCCACCTCAATCTTGAGAATTGACGCCATGTGATTTTTTTTTATAGGGATACACTATATCACCGTTTTACCAGAACAAAGTTCGAAATATCTTAGAATTTAAGCAAGAAATTTGTCGTGTCCTCTACAAACTGATGGGTCAATGTATTATCCAGTGGTGGTAAATTTTATGGAAAGAATAATCGCCTGTAGGGCTATAAGGGAGGGTCATATACCCTCCCTTCTAGTCCTACTACTATGATTTTTCACTGTTAAACCTTAACTTCTCCTGAAGATAATATTATAAAGAAATATTTGTTATGTTTTTTTTTAGCTTTACAATCCATTTATGCTTTTTGTTGCTAAAACTAATTCTTTCCATTTTCCTCTGTTCTTTGTCATATCCCAATTTATTTCTCTTGATTGCACAAGTTTCATCATTTTCTCCTGTACTCTATCCATCCACCTTCGACGCGATCTCCCTCTTTGTCTCATTACTTCCATTTCTTCGCTTAGGACTCTCTTCAGTAGTCTTTCATCTGCTCACCAAATATGCCCCATCCATTCTAGTCTTGTGCTTCTAACGAACTGAACACATTTTCTCTTTTAAACACTACCCTTAGTTCATTGTTTGACCTTATTTTCCATTTCTGTTCTTTCTGGCTATATATTGGGCCATGTATTTTTCTTCGTATCTTCCTCTCAAATCTTAGTAATCTTATAATCTTAGTAGCTTCTCTTCATAACTTTTCGTTGTTGCCTAAGTGGCACATGTTTACAAAAGGACTGGTCTCACATAGCTAATGTATAGTTGTTCTTTTTTTTTTTTTTATTAATTTTGACCTAAATAAGTTTGCTAGAGCATAGTAACACATGTTTGCCGCGGCCAGTCTTATTTTATTTTTCCATGCATATTATTTTGCTTGTCTTATGTCACCTCTAAATATTTAAAATATTTTGTTTTATTTGGCTGTTACCAATACCAAGTTCCTAATTTTCTTGACATTGTCATATATTTCGTTTTTTCCGTGTTAATTCTTAGTCCGTTTCTTTCCCCTGCTTTCATAATTTTCATCATGTTCCTTTTCACTTCTTTTTGTGTTTTTCCTATAATTAAAATATCGTCAGCGTATGCTAAAATTATATTTCCAGCTTTTACTGCCACTTTTAAATTGTATCTTGCTATAGATATCTGCATTGCACATTTGTATCAATGTAATTAACTTTTTCGGTATTCCCAAGTATGCTAACGTCCACCATAGCTCAGCTGTACATCGTCAAAACACAGTAACCAACATTCTTATCAAAATTTACTTTTTTATATATTCTTAGGTACCAAAACTTGCAGAATTTTTATATAATATCGTATTTGGAAACATACAATTATTTCAGAAGTTAACACACAGTAACTACAGTATTTTATTTTAAAAATAATAAAAACAATAACAAAACCCAGTATCTACATGAAGTGTAAATACTGTGTTTTGAATTTGTAACGATTGAAATCAGATGAAAATATATTTCAAGCATAGTGAAATTCAAATTCGAAACACAGTAACTATTAGCACTGATTTTTTTAGTATTGGACAGTTTTTAATGGAGAGCCAAAGATTTTAGACTTCTTACAAAAAAAACTTTTGAAAGATATTAAAACATATGCCCCTAAAAAAATTACCACCATAGAGGAATTACCCTCAATAAAAAAAAAAGGAATTATTGATAAACTCGTTCCAATTATACCAGAAAATAGAAATTTCTTACTAATTGAGCATTTAAATAGAAATTCAATACTATTTAAAGTAAATTAGTGTGATATAAGCATTTTTTAATTTGATATTGTTTTGGAACTGTCATACGAGATTGTAAAAATACTCCATTCATAAAACAATTTAAACATTTGCTAGTTCAGTTAGGGGTGTATTTAAACTTTATTCTAGGGGGGATAGAATGACTCGATTTTTCACTATGCCACTTCTTGGCAAATGATAAAATAGGATTAATGATTTTTTAGAATTTTTGCATACAAAATATAGATCTAGTGGGAGGACATTTCCCCATCAACCCTCTCAAATACACCCTTACATGGCCTTAATTTTTATTTAACAAATATTATTTACACTTACTGAGTTAAAAATTAAATGTGATAGGATTTTATAATTTCTTACATAAATTTCAAAATACAGTATCTACAATCACAGCTGAATGAAAGCTAAAAAACCATTTTGTTGATTTAATTTGAATTTTACTCATTTCCTTGATAACACTTTGTAGTTTCAAGTGATAAGTTTGAAGTTAAGATATTACAAAAATCATTTTCATATCGAATTATGAAAAATATAGATACCTACTGTGTTTTGACGATGTGCAGCTGAGCTCTTCTCGTATAATGCTGGCATATGCTTGTTTGTAGTCAACAAAGATTATATGTAAATCTCTAGCATACTCGTAATATTTCTTCATGATTTGTCTAATAACTAGGGTTTGGATTTTGTAGCAAATGCTTATTTTGAGGTGAGTGTGATAGAAAGATAACTCATATATAAATACGTTTTGAATCGTTCTTATTTTAATGAAGTAAACTTTTTTTTGCTTTTTTTACTTTTTTCCATAAAACCTGCTTTTAATTGCTTTTTCTCCTATTTGGTTATTTTTTTTTTTTTTGATTTTTACATATTTTTTTTGAAAACTTAGCTTATTTCTATGTATATTATACGTCTTGGACTATATTATTATTACCAGAAATTATAAGATCAGTGAAAAAACCAGTAATAAATATATGACTGATAAAATAACTGTCGTTATAGTGCCGAAATAGTTTTATCTACAATTATTTATAGTTGTATTTACGACTCAAGGAAAGGGAAAATTATCTAAATTAGCATATTTTTATATCACGTTCTAATACTTAAGTTGGACAGTAAATCGACAATCAAAAAGGTATAGACGTTTAGTGTTTTAAATAATTTCTCTTATCGTTAAAATGCCAAAAGTTAAAAATGAAAATTTAAAACTAAAAAAATTGTAAGATAATTCGGTGAAAATGTGCTTATGACTGATGGAAATATTATATTTTGTAAACTATGTGAAGTCAAAATAAATTCGGATAAAAAATATAACGTTCAACAAAATATTGGCAGAGAAAAAAACAAAGAAGCATTGAAAAAACTTAAAGCTGCAAAACATAATGTAGTTCAGCCATTCATTCAACAATTTTGTATGTATGATTTTAATGCTGACCTATGTTCCGCATTTGTAGCGGCAAATATCCCCCTAAACAAATTAAATAACGAACATTTTTTATTTCTTTGGTTATTTCTTTCAAAATATTGCAATAAAACTATTCCAAATGAATCAACTTTACGAAAAGGATACTTCGATTCTTGCTACACTAATAGGATAGCTAAAATATGCGATGCTGTGAACGGCCAAAGAATATGGGTTTGCATAGATGAAACAATTAACAGTTTACGACGTAATGTAGCTAACGTTATTATTGGTATTTTGAAACCACAAGATGTTGGTTAAACCTATCTTATTCACACAGAATAATTAGACAATGTGAACCATAGTACTATTTTTCAATTATTTGACAAATCTATGCATATTTTATGGCCAAATAATGTTAATCATGAGGACATTTTATTATTCGTTTCGGACGCTGCGCCGTATATGAAAAAAGCTGGCCCCTGTATTCAAACACTGTATCCAAAAGCTTTGCATGTGACTTGCTTAGCTTATGCCCTCCATAATGCGTGTGAAGAATTGCGTGCACATTTCCCAAAAGTTGATCGTCTGATTGCCGAGATGAAAAAAACATTTCTGAAATGTCCAAAACGGATCGCTATTTTAAATGAAAAATGTCCAGATATTCCAAATTCACCTAAACCAATCACTATTTGTTGGGGTATATGGATTACACCAGTCGAATATTATTGCACTATTTTATATTAATATTATTTAAATGAAATAAAAGTGCAGTTGAAGAATTCAGCGAGAATGCCCAGTGTGTGAATGTCGTAAAAGAGCTTATAAAAGATCAATCTTTACATTCAAATCTCGTCTACATTACAACAAATTTTGGATTTATACCACATGCAATTACACAATTAGAAAAAGAGGTATTTTTTATTTTTGTTTCAAGTATTTGCTGTATTTATATATTAATTTTTTTTAGGCGAAACCTTGGCAAAAAGTATAGGTATTGTGTTAGAAGCAAAACAAAAGTTAGAGGAAGCTAATGGTGAAGTAGCGAAATTGATTTTAGAAAAGTGCAATCGTGTTTTTTCAAAGAATAATGGATGGGCAGAATTTCAAAAAGTTAATTTGATTGACAAAATGTGGTAATGGCACTGCACTAAACGTAAATGTGGAACAGTACGATTCAAATGATTTAGTTTTTATGAAATATGCACCGATTACATCGGTTGACGTGGAAAGGTTTTGCTTTTTAAGGATTT